TGTGTCTGAAGGGTTTGAATCACATGCCAAATGTAAGATCGGTTTCACCGAGAGCGTCGAGGAAACATGACCGTAAGCCACAAACAAATGTTTGACCGAATGGGAAGAGCCAATTCGAAGGCTGACAGAAACGGGGCGTAGTGTAGGCTATTCTCATAGCACACGAGTTACCGTGCCTCAACACCACTATCAGCATGCTGACTGTACGTAGGATGGCTGTGAGAAACCCCCATGCTGACGCCGAGCACAGCCTGCCGCATTCGGGAAATTCGCGAACCGGTGACTTCTCGAATATTAAGAGTCACTTTCCAAGAGGCATGTGAATGAAACGTGGGAATGGAGTTCCCTTGGCGACGGTTTATGATATCGTCTCTCAACAGGACCCCCGTGTGATTGGCTATTTTGACGAGAGTCCGGGGCCGAGAGACACCCGCAGCACTCCCGTTATAAGAAGTGGATATTATCCGTGGTTTCCGTCTTCTTTGGGGCTACTCGTACTCATCTCAACGGACGCTTGCCAGTTCTTTAGCGGTAAGTAAGTCTTAGTCTCTCGCGTGGCACCAGATACCATGGACGGCAACTCGGAGGTCAACGGCTCCAACGGCTACACCAACGGCAACTATGAGCCGCAGCACAACGGAACACCACAGCTGCGGGACGATCTCAGTGACACGGACTACGGTTACAACGATGGCAGTGACAACTTCGACCCTGTCACCGGCACGTACCCTCGCATCTCGCGCCCCGTTGAGCTGATCCGGCCCTCATACGATGTTGTTGTCATCGGCTCCGGCTATGGTGGGGCCGTCGCCGCCAGCCGAATGGCTCGAGCTGGACAGACCGTCTGTCTACTAGAGCGCGGGAAAGAGAAGTGGCCCGGAGAGTTTCCCTCTGGAATTGCGGGTGCCGCCCAAGAGCTGCATATGACCAATGCAGCAACGGACGGCGTACTCGGCAGACTTGGGAAGTTTGCCGAAGGAGGCGATCCTACTGGTCTCTACCACCTCATTGTTGGCGATGGCCAGAACGCTTTCGTCGGAAACGGCCTTGGAGGTACTAGTCTCCTGAACGCCAATGTCTTCTTGGAGGCGGACCCTGGCACGATGAGCCTACCGATTTGGCCCGAGCAACTCCGAGGCGATAACCTCAAGCCATGTAAGTTTTGGACGATGTGGATTGCTTAAAAAGAGACTGACGTGTAACAGATTACGAGAAGGCTCGCAAAGTCTTGGAGCCGGCACAATACCCAGAGGACTACCCCAAGCTTCCCAAGTTGGAGACGCTTGAGAAGCAGGCGAAGCTCATGGGATGGGGCGATAAGTTCTATCGCGTGCCTCAAACGACCAAGTTCGTCGACGGAGACAACAGCACTGGTGTCTCGATGAAGGCATCCTCGCTCACTGGCCAAGACACCACGGGTCTGAATGACGGAAGCAAGTCAACCACTCTGGTCAACTATCTCAGCGATGCCTGGAATTGGGGTGCCGAGATGTTCTGCCAGTGTGAGGTCCGTTACGTCACTGAAGCCCCTGAAAGAGACGGCTACATTGTTTACTTTGCCTGGCATGGAGGCAAGCGAGCCAACTTCCAGGACATCTTTTACGAAGACCTCATGTGGGTTCACGCAAAGGAACTGGTCTGCTTCGGCGCCGGTAGTATTGGTACCACGGAGATTCTGCTTCGCAGTCAGAAGTTTGGCCTTCAGATGAGCAAGGACGTCGGCCAGGGTATGAGCGGCAACGGCGACATCCTGGCTTTTGGGTAAGACTGGGAAGCCCTCCCGGGCCACATGAGCAGCTGCTAATCAACGTCAGATACAACACCAATGAGTATGTCAACTCTATGGGGCGGCCAGACCCACCGCCAAATCGCCCTGTCGGGCCATGCATCACGGGTGTCATCGACTGCCGTGACCAAGAGAACCCTCTTGACGGCTTCGTGATCGAGGAGGGTGCCATTCCCGCCGCTTTGGCACCATTCTACCAGACTATGCTGCAGTACCTGCCCGGTCGCGTCTTCCCGCATAATCTTTCCTTTGGTCAGAAGGCCGACCACTTGGCTGCTGCTGTGGGTGCTCGCGTCTTTGGACCTTACAACCCACAGGGCAGCACTGAGAGAACCCAATGCTACCTGATCATGTCGCACGACAGTAAGTGAAGCCCTTTCACCTCATCATTCAGACGCATCTGACTTTCTTCCTAGGCAGTCAAGCAACAATGAACTTGGTGGATGACAGACCGTTGATCAACTTCTCCGGCGTCGGCACTTCCAAGAGAGCTACTAAGCTCGCGGGTTACCTCCAGAAGATCACCAACCTGATTGGGGGCACTTACGTTGACAGCCCATTCTATGCCGCCTTCGGAGAAAAGGAGATCACAGTCCACGCAATGTAAGAAACTGAGTGGCCCTTGTCTTGTTGAATAGCTGCTTACATGATCATTCCAGTGGCGGCGCACGCATCAGTAACGACGGCACTGGGGCTGGCGGTGGTGTCAACGACAAGGGCCAGTTGTTTAAGGGTGATGGAGAAGAGGTCCACCCTGGCCTCATTGTTTGCGACGGCACTATTGTCCCTGCTGCTCTCGGAGTTAACCCCTTCGCGACCATCACCGCCCTCGCCGAGAGATCGATGGAGAAGATTGCCGAAGACAGGCACTTGACTATCAGGGAGGATCGCAATTGTAAGTTTCGGTCCAGTTCACGATGGCATTTCCGAAATGCTAATACGTTCAAGGGTCTCTCAATCTCTTTGGAAAGCCTGCGCACATTCCCGAAAGCCTACAACGTGAAGATGCCCTCCAAGTGATGAGAGTTCAAGACATCATTCAGACTGCCAGAGATGACAACACTGCTGGTATTGCCTTCACTGAGATGATGGACGGCTGGATTCATATCCGTGACAAGAATGAGACAATCAACAACTTGTCTTTCGAACACGCGACGGCCACTGCTCGCGGTCGTGGCGAGTTTGCGCGATTCTTCCTGAGCGCTCGCTCATGGAACACCCACAACCGCAAGTCAACCTGCGCCAGTGAATCGAACACAGAAGCTGACCTCGCATAGTTGTCCATGACAAGGAGCACCCGGCCACTCTTACCGGAACCTTTACCTGCCCCAAGCTCGGCGGAACCTGCATGGTCCAGGGCGGTAAATTCCAACTCTTCAATGACGACCCTCGCGCACCTGACACCATGAACCTCACGTACAACTTTACCATATCGTGCCCCAACGGCCAGAAGCTCCACTTCAACGGATACAAGGTCGTCAATCCGGACGTCACCCTCAACCCTCTCAACCTCTGGAAGGCTACTACTACCCTGTACTGCACCATCACGGAGCTTGGGACTGGTGGCATGGGAGACGAAAACAACGTTCTCGGCAAGGGTATCATCCACATTCGTCCCACCTCTTTCCTCCAGGAATGCACCACCATGGAGACTACTGGCTCAACGCTCTACTCCCGCGTTGCTTCGACTGCCAACTTCCTCGGTTACTTCACCGCCAAGGCAGCCAGTGCTTTCCTCACCCCGTTCATCCCCATGCAGTGGCCCAGTCTGCCATTCAACAACTACCAGAACCCCTCAAGATACACGGAAGAGATAACACTTCATGCGAGCGATCGTGTCAAGACCAAGCTCTTCTACTGGAGCCCTCAATTTTACGAGCCCTATGAGAAGCGCAACTGGGACGAGTCGAACGCGCCCATAGTGTTCCTCATCCCCGGTGCTGCTGTTGACCAGCAGATCTTCGCCTTGCCCACAATTGAGAAGAATGCTGTCAACTACTACCGTGCAAAGGGCTTCCGAGTGTACTCGATGGTTCACCGAGTGGGCAAGACCATCGTTGCCCAGCAAAACTGGACTACATACGATGCTCGACTGGATCTCAAGGCCGCTCTCGAGGAAATTCGACGAAGACATCACATCGAGGATAGCGGAAGTGGACCATCCGTCACAACATACGTCGTTGCTCACTGCGCTGGTTCTGTTGCTCTCGCCTCAGGTCTGCTTGACGGCACAATTCCACACCAGTGGCTCAGTGGCGTGACTGCCTCCCAAGTCTTCATGAACCCAATGTTTGCCAAAGTCAATCAAATCAAGGCCAGCCTTCCCATCTCCATGGCGTCTATCTACAGTCTCTTCCAGGGCAATTGGTACGATTGCTCGAGCTCCTCCAAGGACGGCATCATTCAGCAGGTCATCAACCAGGCGCTCCGCTTCTACCCCGTCGGTCGTCGTGACGAGATTTGCAACTCTGTCGTTTGTCATCGTAGCTCTCTTGTATTTGGACGGTAAGAACTCCGATTCATGATCATGCATTCCAACGTTTTCACCTGCTAACTTCGATGTGCTAGCCTTTGGTCACACCAGCACCTGAATGATGCCACCCATGCCCAGTTGGAGAACTTCCTCGGAGGTACCTCGATGAAGAGCCTTCGCCACCTCATGGACAGCGGTCTCGCAGGGAATGTTCTTGACTCTCGGAATGTCGAACTTACCACACAGGGGAATATTGCTCGTCTCAAGGGTCTTCCCATCTTCCTCTTCTCCGGATCTGAGAACGCAGTCTACGACCCGCAGAACACCGACAAGTCCTTCACTACCCTCAGCGAGGTTAACGGCGGCATGTGCTACGAGAGGCAAGTCTTCGAAGGTCGCGGCCATCTTGACGCTTGGATGAGTCCTACTGCCCATGAAGAGGTCTACCCTCGTGTGCTCACCCACATCGAAAATGTGCGAGGAGGCAAATATGAGAAGGTGAAGTCTTACATCAAGTCTGTTACCAAGGGAAACGCTCGATGCTAAGCCTCACGCGCATGACATGAATCAACATTTCCTTTGTTCAAAAATTTGAAAAGTCTTCCTGCGTTTAGATAATCCCGAGTCGCCGCCAGACTGTAATGGTAAATGTGTTTGACACAAATTTCTTCATAATACAACTCAACTTCACTTGTTTCGCTTTACGTCCGTCATCTAGACAATGAATTAGGTGATGCAGCATTAAATCAATCCTTCAGGACCCGGCTTCACCTCTCGAGGCTGTGCGGATTCTGGTAACACGGCCTCTCGATCAACGTCATCCTCTTGATTGACCTCCTGCCTTCTTTCAGAATGCAGGGTCTGCACGGGTTGATGAGGTACCTCAGATTCCGGCACCCACTCCCCTCGATTGTCTCCATCACCCCGTTGGTCTTGATGTGGAGGTAAGAACCAATGACCACCAGTATATACTGTGTCCTCAACGCTCTCGACTGACTCAACACCCATTCTTTTGCCATTAATACCCGTGAGTCCTCCGTAAAAGTACCTCCGCCCAAGCTCCTTGACTTTCTTCTCCCGCTCTTCAGAGTTCAGCTTCGAAAGTCCCTCGAAATCCTCCAGCATCCGACTTTCTGCGACGTAGTACAACGCTCCAGCGATACTGCGCGGATCGACTGGCAGCTCGGGCCATTTGATGAATAGGCTTGCCACCATGGAGGCCAACATGAGCGCAAGAATCGTAAGGCTGATGGTCGCGCAGACATTGTGGGATTTCAGAGTCTGCGTCAGGTTGTACGGCACGTTCGCGAAGAGAATCGGCAGGAATTCGGCAAGGATGGACATGAAAGCTGCCAGCATAAGAATGATGTTGCCCTCTAATATCGCCGCGTAGAGTCCGTAGAAGCCGTTCGTTGGACGAGTCAAGAGGATTGATTTTTTCGGGGGCTGAGAGCGACGACCCATGTTGTCGTAGGGGCTGATTATTGCGATGCCTTAGATCGTTAGATAGGGGAACCCCAAGGCTAGTTGGGTCAACTTACTGATGAAAATAGACTCCCAGCAGAAGATAATGGTAACACCCAACGCCGCGAAAAAGAACCGAACGCCAAACGTCTGACTATCCATGAAGTCTTTGAAAGAAGTTCGAAGGGACAGTGTGAGATGGTAGTACAATATGATGATAAACAAGGCAGCGAGGAAGAAGATGAACCCGAGTCGCCACCACCACGTAAGTGCAATGAAAGGCACCGGTTTACGGCTTTTCTTTGCATTGTCCCTTTGGTACGTGCCAGTGAGTTCGTCGTCTGCTGGAATTGCGCCGGAAGCTGTTGCGCTTTGGAGACTCTGGGCTGAGTCGTCACAGTAGATAATGCCGTACTCGTCGCGACCGAGATTGTTATCGAAGTAGCCAAAAACATATCGCTTCTCTCTCATCGCTTTTGCGCTGGCTTTGAAGTCTATTTGATGCGATCGAATATCCGCGTTACGTGCAAGGGAGGAGATTCCGGCTATGCTCCAGGGGTTGGCATGGAGGCCTGTTTCCCAAGTCCGAAGGAAAAAGAGCAAGACGAGAAGCAAAACTATGATGAAGGCGATCAGGGCGACTAGGGCGTAGCTCGACACGGGAGAGACACCCAATTGGATGCCACAGCCCTCGATTGCTGTGATTTTGCAAGTGCCATGGAGTTTCATCCCGATAGCTTCCGTCGCTAGAGGTGCAAGTAGAGACGAGCACAATATGATTAATGTTGTGATGAAAGGGACCGGATGACCCTGCAACAAACTCTCAAAGGGAGCCAAGAAGCCTTTCCAGCCATCAAATTGCAAGGTCATGCTGCTTTTCCCCAACGAGCCTCCTTCCTGTGCGAGAGCGTGGAAAGGCTGGTACAGCTTGGCGTTAAGGTCGATGATCCGGAGGGGAACCGCAATCATGACTGCAAGGATGATGGGGAGGAACTTCCCGACGAAGTAGTCGCCATTGGTAAAACCGAACTTTTCGATCTCGGTTATGACTCGATCAGGGCTGTCTGTTGATGTTGGCTTGGTCGTGGAGGTGATAAGAGTGGTGGAGGGCTTGATGGTTGACAAGCGAGTTGTGGGACTTGGTGTGGAGGTAATGGTCCTCAATGTGCCCGAGATAGAGGTGGTGAACGTAGTAGGTGCGGGAGTGGATATGATAGTACTTAAGGTGCCTCCAATGGTCGTGATTACTGTAAAAGACAGAGGCATTGTGCCGGTCGGGGTAGTGATGATGGTCATGGTCGTCAGAGTCCCTCCCGACACCGATGTAAACGTTCGCGGTCCCGGCGTCCTTATTATGGTAGTCTCCTTGCCGTCTATCGTCGTCTTGGTAGTCTCTAGAGGATCTAATGTCGTTAATACACCGGTATTGCCGCCAATCTCCGACACCAGGGTCAATGAAATGGGACTGAACCCTGCTGTTGGTACAGAATTGATCCATAGAACGGTCGGTGTGCCATCGATGATGGTCTGCACAGCCAGTAGTACTGGTTCTTGAGTGACAGGAACGTTGACGACGGTCGCCTTTCCATTAATCGTGGTGGCCATCTCTTTGAATGCGCCGGGCCCTGCTGGATTGAGAGTCGAAGGGACTATAACGACAGTCGGTGTACCATCTTTCGTCGTTGGAACGGCGACGAAGGCTACCTCTGGAGAAGGCGTCACTGTGATAACCATCCAGGTCGCCTGGCCTCCCTCATGTGTAACAATCGTCTGTGGGGGCGGCGTAAAGGCGACTGTGTACACTCCACCATCGCTCTTCACCATGGTTTGAGGAGTGCCCTTGTCCACAAATGTTTCGACCTTTCCGTCGTAGACACTGGTAATGACCTGAAAGACTGGAGGCTGGGTCTGTGGCTCGTTGCCTCGGTTCCCACCAGGAACGGTAATGAACTTGGTAATCTCGGTGGTTCCCACTGACACATAGACCTGAGGAGGGCTCGTACTCGTGACGACGGACGCGACTGTTGATGGCACGGCACTGACGATGACGGAAGTAACATCGCTTGTGCGTGGTGGCACGGTAAAAGCCGACGTCGAGGTGTACGTTATTTCTATGGGCTCAAATGAGGTCTCTACGACTTCCGATACGGTCTTCTCGTCGTTAATGGTTCTGATACTAGTCATCGTTGGTTTGACTGGTATTATTGTCACGTGGGCGAAGCTCGTGACGCCCGATCTCGTGATGGTACGCGGTACGCTGGTTGTGCGAACGTCGGTGTACGTTGTTACGCCATGGGTTCCTGGCATCGTTGTCTTTCCGGTTGAGGTGAAAGTCGAAGGCACATGGATAGTGACCTCGTTGGTGTTGTGGTGGAACCAGGTTTGGTGATGGTGGTTGTGAATTCGCTGGTGATAACGGGCAGTCTGAACGGATTGTGACTGGTACTTGACGTGGACGACGTGATCTCGGGTCCAGAACTAGTATCGGTGATGGCTGGGCGCTCTTTCTCTCGGCGCCCTGTGCTTGATGAAGTTGCGTCAAAACTGCGTTCTGACTCCGTCGACGACGCAGGCTTTGACTCGCGGTCTAAAGTTGTTCCTGTCTTGGCGGATGTGGAACCGGATGCTGGACCTGTTGATACGGTGCTGTCTTTCGAGTTGATAGAGGATGTAGTTTGTCTCTCAGAAGCGGTGCTTGTGGTCTCCACGATGGTCTTCGGTGAGAATGATGTCGAGTCCGTTGGCTCCGGAGCCGTAGTGGTAATAGGATTCTTCGAAGACGTCCGAACAGTCTCGTCAGACGGACTTGACTCCGGAACCACAGTGATGGTCGGTTGATCAGTTGCTACCACGGCGTGATCTGACGTGGGCACTACTTCATGTTTTACTGAAGATGACACCCCTGGAGATGGCACCTCCAAAATAGAGCGACTAAGCAATGTGGATGACTCCGAGGCTCGTAATAGCTGTTCAGATTTTGCCTGAATCTGAGATTCAGAACTGATTGGTAGGTCGGGGCCGATACTGGTAGGAAGGCTCGCTGCGGTCAGAGAACTCGGCGTAGCGGCTACCGTGGAGGCCGTTGTTGCCGGTGTAGAGTTGGGTTCGGCCGGGGACGTTGACGGCGGTAGATCAGCCGACATTGACTGCTCAGCCGAAGTATTGTTTTGCCGGTACACCAAGATATGCCTGGGCTCAATGGTCGCCGTGCTGTCAGAGTTGGGCATCGTCGTCCTGGCGACAATGACCAAACTCATGAGGATCCCTAGCAGAAGAATAACGACAGCAATGAACGGCCATCGCAACGGCTTCGGCTTATAGCTCGGTCGTTTCGGCAACTGGATGGTCCGCATCTTCTCCTCCTCGACGATATGCTGCTCGTCGTCGACATCCTCGGTGGCTTGAAGGTTGTACCGCGCCTGCGAGTCGAAGGTCGACTGATCAGCGGGCGGAGGGTGGTGCATTTTGTCTCAACGGCCGTTACCGACGGCGTGGACCCGTTGCTTCGTCTTCCGATGATGATTTACTTTTAAGAAAGGACCTAGGAAAACAGCAAAGCTCACCAGAGCTGTTTCCCGACGCCGCAGTCGCAGGGAGAATTGCATCTTTTGAGCCACTCGGCGCTTGAATAATGCTCCTCCCGTCGGACATTGTCTGGCGTCCTAGTGTATTCCATGACCCAGAGCCTGCTGCTATTTTCTTCCGAGCCTACTGCATCCGCCCCGAGACAAGAAGCCAAGCACCGCCCAGGACTTCCATCTTTCACGAAACCTGGTTCGTCGTTTTCTCGCCGTGCCGGCGCGGTCCAGCCCTCGGTGGCTTCCAGGGAGGCCGCTTGACCGCATCAGGGGCCACGCCTTTGCCCACTCACATGTTGTCCTGCATTCGCGCGGATAAAAAAGGTTGGGAGCCAATCGAAGCAGGTGTAGACTGGAAGAGGCGTTCCGTCCCTCCCTCAGCTGAAGCCTGCGCCCAGCGCCACCTCGGCGACACCAGTCGCGATGCGGATTCAGGGACGGCAGAGCTGATTTTTGGCGTGAATGGCTACAGTAGCCGGCTCTGAACTAGGTTGATGCGTGTTCAGGGGGCTGGCAACGCTTTGAGGCGCAAATGGTTGGATGGGCAGTGATGGTGCATTGTGACAGAAGACTGCCGATAACCGTTGGCCGATGCAGGTGAGAGGGTGTCCCAATGTGGCATCTCTTTTGTTCGTGAGTCCTTTGAATGGCGTGTTGAAGATGCAGCCTGAATTGGCAGAGCTCTCTGCGACGCAAGCTTCCCTGGCCTTACAAGCCTGGCCGCTGTCAGCGTACCCGAGGATCCAATGAAGTAGCTGGAACGCTCTGTGTTGTCGGGGAGGTAGGGCTGAAGTCGGGGATTGCTTTGGACGGTTAGCGAGATGAGTTGAGAGCAGCGCTACCCCGAGTCCGGGGGCCCTTGTGTCTCACGTGGCCGGTGTAGCAGCTCCGGCAGGTTGGGAAGACGATAATGGCCGTATCTGGCTGTGTCTGTAGTCGGGAACTAAGGTTTACAGTCCACTGGATGGGTCACTCGTGGCGCGTTTTCTTGCTTCGGACTTTTAACGACTGCGCAGAGTAGAAGCACTGGCAAATACGTTGATGTACCCGAGCCCTATGCCCTGGTTGATGCAAGGACCTGCTTCGGACTTGAGTAGCTTCACTAGTTGCAGGCCTCCGGTGAAATCTTCTACATGTGCATAGCGACGTTGATGATTTTAAGATGAGAATTCCGACTCAGAATGCTTTTGTATTGGCGTTCATGATAGACTTTTACCATACTTGCTATGGGTGATGTGATCCAGTTTCGCAGCGCTTCCCGTGCGCTGCTGTTCATTTCCTTGGTGCTATGTACGGGGCAGAGCTACAGCATTCCCTGTCTACATGTGCTTCACTTAGAGCTCAGCAGACCATCCAAAATCGTCCTGCTTATCGTCCTCGTCAACATACTCCGCCAATCTCTCCTTCAAATCTTGGACGCTAATCTCGCCGTTCTCGCTGTCCTTCTTGTGCTTGTGAGGAGGGATGGGGACGCGAGCAGGGACGTGGATGACACCGTTCTTGGCAATGCCATCAGCAACAACAATGGGGATGTAGCCATTGAGCTTGACGCGTCTGAAGCCGCGCCACACAGCAACATCAACGGCAATGTTCTTGCCGCCCAGCAGAGTCGGGAGGTCCACGTGGTAGTGCTCCATGACGTTGGCTTCCTTGTTACCGGGGCGGTAAAGGGCGTCGCTGTACAGGGTGGTGTTCGCGACAATCTGGTACTTCAACAGAGCCTTCAGGAACTTCAGGCCGGTCGGGCTGTTGAACAGGAAGGCATTGGCCTTGGGTCCGAGACGGGCAAAGGCATTGTTGGAAGGGGCGAAGACGGTGGTGCCAGTGGACTTGACGCCGTGGATGTACTTGACAAAGTCCGTCTTCTCGTAGGCGAGGAGGAGGGTCGAGAACTGGCTGGGCAGGAGGGTGAGCTCCCGGCCGACCGGAGGGGGAGGAAGGAGGACGCTGTCGATGCCGTGGATGATTCCGTTATTCGCACGCTGTGGGAAAAAGACAATTAGCACGTGAAGTTGCAGCTGTTAGTTGAGGTCGTATGTTACTTACAATGTTGACTGCAACAACCTTGCTGTAGAAGTTGACGCGGACACCACCGAGACCAACGCTGGTGCGAAGACGCTGAGGCTTGTCACCGAGCCAGGGTTCGTTCAGCAGCGTGGGGAGCGTGTGGGTGCGCAAGACCCTCTTGGCGTCGTACACACCAACACCAACATGGTACAGCAGAATACTCTTGATGGCCTCCTTGCTAAGCTTCAAGCCCTTGGGGAGCTTCGCAAAAGCCCGATCGGTCGGTGCGAAGACGGTGTGGTTGGCCTTGGTGCTCTTCAACACCTCGACAATGTCGTCGTAGTCGCTAACGAGCTTAGCGAGAGTGGTGGTGTACTTGCTGCCGGCGACGAGGTCAAAGATGGACTTGTCGGAAGTGTCGCCCTCATCATTGAAAATTTCCTCCTCGAAAATGTGCTCAAACTTGTTCTCGACAGTGTCCTCGAGAGTGTGCAGAGCACCCTCAATCTGGGAGGACAAAGAGTCGAAGCCCTCTTCGACAGTGTTCACGATGGAATCCTTGGACGGGACGCGGTCCCACCAGGAGGGGCGCTCGTCGTTCTGAATCGACGCTTGCTCGAAAATCTGAGGGTCGGGAAGGATAAACGCGTTGGCAACGGCCACGCAGGATAGGGCAGCGATAGCCTTCATATTCGATTACTTTTATCAATTCCCTGATAACAGTACTATCTTGATCTTGATGGAAAAGGTTGATAAGAGGGAATGCAAGTTGTCAAGCAAGGAAGGCAAGGGGTGAGCGAGGTAGCAGGAAGGTAGATAAGGAAGTAGTTTGTTCGCCGACATCAAAGAAACACCACGCCATAGCACGCCAGACCACCGCAGGCAGAAGAATCGACTACGCCAACACCTAGAGGTCTAATCGTCAGCTGACGTCAAGGCGATCGGACAGCGAAGGCAACGTGAAACTCTCCCCGCCCGTTGTTCTCCAATGGGACCTTTGGCCCCGGGCGAGCCGGAGGGAACACCAGACGGCTGCGCGGAGCCCTACATGCTTGATGCAACCCAGAAATAGCCAAGGTTTCCACCGGCTATGAAAAGAGATGGTCTTTCGTGTAGAGAGACGGTGGAATCCCGTTCGTTGTTTCGCATCAATCGCATTACGATGAGGTGATTCCGGCGTGGCAGCTCGCGAAAGCTATTACGCGGAGCTCTGGCCACCACACCTAGCTTACCCGCGTAAAATGGAGCTACAGCCATTCCGTCGTGTGCGTCATTCATCTTAGCTGTGAAACCGCATTCGTCCACAACCATCGGGGTCTCGGGCTTTTCGGGTCTCCATCCGTCGGAGTGTCTTCTCCCCGCCCACCGATCAAGCACGGCCCCACAGCCGCCTTTGCCGCCATGTGAAGGACCACTCGCTCGGCTTTGATGCCGGCCGGGCTGCCCACGATGTGAATTCCACCGGATTCCGAGCTGGTTCGGGGTTGGTATTGAGGGTGTTTCGTCCCTCAGAATTTATAGTTCTTCTTCTTACCGTCCTTGCAGCATGCAGCTCATGATTCGCCCGAGGTCTAAGAAACACATGTGCCCATTGAGTTCGCAATTGCAGTACCCCACAAACAAGAAACCGTTGTTCGGTTTGATCCAGACATCACCAACTCTAAGAGCAAGTTGACGTGCTGTATTTGGTTTGTCATGTAACTCAATTCGGCGCCGAGTGTTCATCGAATCTCCGGATGAGGCTGCTGAATAATCCGTATTTCAATAATCTTTAAACTTCAGCAACTCGCAAGTCAAACTCGGACGGGCAAGCCTTCACGTTCGGTACGGCACTTGCCGACGAAGTATCATCGCAAAGCCGTCAATATCTCTCAAGACCCTTCAGACTAAGAGCACTAGAACGCAAGCCACTTTATCGTTGCAAATTTTAACCATGTCCAAGCATTCCAGTGGCTACACTGGTCGCCTTCCTCAAGCGAGTTGAGCGAGGATTGAAGAATTAAATTCAGCTTCAAGACTTCTAGAATAAATCTGGTTGTGAAAAACACCACGCGGCATGAGCTCCATGTGTAAAGATCTTAAAACGTCCTGAGACGTATGTTTAAAGGGCAACAATGCTTCATGTGCTGTTCCCCTTCCTCACATCTGTAATTACGACTTATCTCAAATAAAACCTTTAACTCCCAATCCCATTTGTCTTATCGCGACATGCCGGGAGGCTTGGGTCCCCAGTGCTCCAAGGATTCGGCAAGTATCCTCGGCCGTAAGAAGCTCATCTCGTCGCTTGATCGATCAAATTCATCAGCTCTTCCACCACATCAACTAGTTAGCAAGCCTTATCTCTATCTTCTCGCCTAGACGTGCCCAAAACATACTGATCCTTCATAATCATGTGTTGGTTGCGCTCAAGGTGAAGCCAAGCAGTTTGTGAGGCGTGCCTTGGATTCTTCAGCTTTCCAGTCGGGCTGAAAGAGGCCCCGGCAAAATTCGGTATGTTTGTTGGTAGGTGGGTGTCATTCTCGCTGTCAAATTTACCCAGCTGAAATCGGTTGGTTCCAACACCAATTTCACAACAGGTTTGCTATTTCAGCCGGGGGCCTAGACCACATGGTTCGGGTAACCATGGGTTCTCCCAAGCCTTACTTTGAGGCACAGTTGTGAAAAAGGGTACCCGGTTGGTCTAGGACTTCCATCAGCTTAGTACTTCGTGGGGGCAGCCCTGTCCATTTTGAGAACTTCCTGGCAAACAAGATGCACCGCCGGGGCACAGGATCTAATGCAATGTCATACCATGCTCCTGACACAGCGAGAGAGCCAGATAAAACGCGATCGCCTACTCATCGCGCAAAAAAAAAAAAAAAAACTTTGCTTCTGTATGTCGAGCAGGGACAAATCTTGCGAAAATGAAGTATTCAACGACGATTCAGGACATCCCGTCTATCAGGGGTGGGAGTTTCTTCTTCCTGGTTGCAGTTGCAGCCTACATGCTTCTCAGCGTCAGTTGGGGTCCTTTCATCGATCATACATCGGAGCTGACAGATCACAGACTATTTTGGCGGGTCTACGATCGCCCCTCAGCCATGTGCCAGGCCCATGGCACACTCGGTTCTGTCGATGGAGACTGAAGGCAAGTCGGCTTACCGGAACTCGAATGACTTATATCTACAATCTTCACCAAAAATACGGAAAGCTGGTCAGAGTTGCCCCCAATGAGATTTCATGTGTCGATCTCGATTCGGTCATCCGGGTGTACAAGATGGGTGGTGGTTTCGAGAAAGCGCAGTGGGTTGGGAATTTCGCTGATAAGCTCCCGGCACTTTCTCTGTCCTTTCTCACCAACAAGCAGGAAGCGAAAGAGCGACGGAAGCTGCTTCAGCGGTCCTTTACACTTGCATCTTTGCGACAAAACTGGGAGAGTGAGATCCGTCAGAATGTGGAACTTGCCGTCTCGAAGATCAAAGACGAGGCGCTGCGGGGAACTGCCAATACTCACAAATGGTGGACATTGATGGCTGCGGACATCATCAGTCTTCTGTCTTTTGGCCAGTCTTTCGGTATGCTGGGATTGGGCAAGGTAAGAAAAGGATCGTCCTCCTTTCAAGAGTCGACTTTCGCTGATCTAGACCAAGAGCACCCTTTACATGCGGGCAATTGAGACCGCTTTGCTTGGAGCAGTTTTCAAAAGCGAACTCCCAGTTTTGCACTTCCTCTTCCGACTGATTCCCAAATCGTCGCTCCAGACAATATCTCGCTGCCTTGAACAGTGTGATGCGGTGGGAAAGGTCGGGGTCGAGAAGCTTTATCGGCAAGACGACAAGACCAGGAGTCTGTTCAAAGAAATGATCATCGACTGCGAGAGGGAGGGACGGCAATGGCTCGATGATGATACTGTGCGAATAGAGGCTGCGGGCATGATGGTCGCTGGGTCAGATACCACTGCCGCAGTTTTGACTTATCTGATTTGGTCCGTGTTGAAGCAGGAGGAACTACAAAGAAGACTCGAGGATGAGATATCTCAGCTAGGTGATGACTTCGATGATAAGACGCTGGACGACTGCCCTCTTCTCAATGCTGTAATTCAAGAGACGCTGCGGTTATATCCAGCGGTTCCATCGTCTCTACCCCGGACTGTTCCCGAGGAAGGTGCTACTCTGTCAGCTCACTACATCCCAGCAGGTACAGTGGTTTACAGCCCTGCCTACACCCTTCACAGAGACCCAGAGATATTCCATGAACCTCATCGGTATACCTATCCTGTCGTCTGATTTCATTCTAGAGTTAACCATGATCCTAGATTTAAGGCCGACCGTTTTCTAGACTCTGCGGGGGTCACATTGCGACAAAGGCAAGCTATGATACCTCTTGGTGGTGGATCGAGGGTCTGCATTGGCCAGCACTTGGCCATGATGGAACTTCGACTTTCTGCGGCGATCTTTTTTCGGGAATGTCGGGGGGCGAGGCTCAGCAGTAAAATGCCTGCAGACAGCATGGATGTTGTTGATTTTGTTCTTCTGTCTCCCAAACGCAGACGATGCGACATCACCTTGAATTTTCTATGAGTGTAAGCGACACGACATGCCGGAGAATTAAAAGTCCGCAACATTTCTGCAGTACACAGTCATAGACAGGTGGAACAAAGACTTCCTCCATCGTATCTGAGTCTATGCACAATGGACGAAACACTATGTACTCGGGTCGACGTACTAGGAAGTAGGAACTCCTCAGGAGCTTTCACTTGTAGCCAATTGAACTAACTTAGGCGCGCGTGTTATCAAAGTCATGCCGATCAAGCCGTCGAGCTGAAGAATACCTAGAAATATTCAGGATGTCTCTCGACTTCATTTTACATTTGCCAAACATCATGACCCCAGACCAACGTACACGACCAAGGATAACTTCAGTATCTGTCTTGTGTAACCAGCAACTTCTTCCATGGCTTTCAAAGCACCTCTTCGGGTCTGACGTCATATTAAGTCGAAGGATACGGCGCGAAGCCCCAGTCTTCTGCGTCCCTCATCAACTGGTCCGCCAATCCATCATCACCAGATGTCGCACCAACATACAGCCTAGTGAAAGCGACGTCACTCCAGTAGCTGTACTCAGTATCAGGTGGCACAAATACGACATCGCCCGTAAGGAGACTTTCTTTCTGCCCTGACACCAAGACCATCAACTGCCAGTCTAGGACCAACAACACTTGTGAGCCGCTCGGTTTGCGCAGTGGTACTTCGCTATCCAGCGCTCTCCTCCCGATTGTGAGATACTGATAGTAGCATTTCCGGACGTTTCATTCCTGCTCACCAGAGGCGCGATGACCTGTCCTTCGGAGCGATGAAGGAACGTTGGGCCCCGATTGTTGGCGACGAAGTACGGCTCATGTGGGTTACCCGGCAAATTACTATTACCATTATGCCAGGGCAACCCTTGGTTCGAGGTACCGTTTGTCATGTTGTGCGACAAGGCCGCATCTGGGGCAATCGTAATGTCAAAGCTTCCGTCAGCTGCTGCGGCAATGATCTCGTCCACAGGATAAGGCAAGGGTTGATCCGGCGGGAACGGTGCATCGAATTCGCTCGAAAAGGGTTCCGAGATGTTGTAAATCCATTTTCCAAACCCTCCTGGTGCTATGAAGCTCGCCATCAAGGTATCCGGCTCAGTGAACTGGAAAGAGTGGTTTTGGTTCTGAGGGACAGTAGCGAAGTCCGATGCCTGTAGCGCGCGCATCTCTCCATTGATCCACATCGTCATGCCTCCACGGATTGCGAAGAAGGTTTCGTAGTAGCGTTGGTGGCGGTGCTTGGTTATCTAGAGATTCTCCCTTCCGCTCTCCGTAAACAAGGTGAAAGCGCCACCTGAAGACTGATCTGTCACCAGGACCCTGTAAATGTCGGCCCCAATTTGATAAGCATCTCCGGTAGAGTATCGAAGTAAATATGGCCTAACATTCGAAGGAGCTCTTTCGACCACAAGAGAAGCAGGCTCCGGAGAGAAAGATGAAGCCGTTGCGAAAAGTCCAACAGCGGCTGCCAAGACAAGAAAGAAAGTATTAGCCATCGTAAAAGAACCAGATGAGTTCAACAGGATATTTTCAGTGATACTTCTCGTGTTGAGAGTGTGATCAGTGAAGCATTTCCGATGACCCGGTCCATTCCTCCTCCTTTTATATGCTGGATTCGGCGATTCCACATCATAGACAATACTCAGTCTTTTCCTTCCCGTTCAACGATTCTTTCCATGCAGCATGCTCAGAAACAATTGCCCGCTAAGATAGTAATTGATCGGGTGGGAGGCCGAGTGGGAAAATGGCTGACTGATATATAGCCTTCCGCTGACGTCAAAACACCACCCCCCCTTCGAGTTGAATTGCACTCTTGATGCTCCAGAAAGATGCCTAAGTCCTAAGACCTCGATTTTATGTACTTCAATGAAAGGGCGCCCGCTCATATTGTTCTACCCGTCGTTAAGGAAGGGCGTCCATGGGTCCTTGGGTAGCCTCTTCCGCTTCTCGAAAAATGTCACTTTCTCGCCACGTTCCGGGTTTCTAAGGGACAGACCTCTGATTTCCGATATGCTGAACACACGCTTGCGACTTGATTTTCGTTTGCCAAATTGCCTATGAATAACTATGAATCTCATGCATGCAATCGCTTATAAATCTTTGGGCCGGTGGGAGAGCGGCACCATGGACATTGCGTCGGAAAGGGAATTGGTCGCCTTGCCGGTGGGAGAGCAAGACGCGGACATTGAAATCACTCCAAAGGATCAATCAATAGCTCCGTGTTCGATTATTCGATACAACCTTATACGGTGATTTACATAACCCCTCAAGTGATATCCGGAGTCTCGCTTGTTCGTGTCAAGCTTTCGACCATCGAAACTCTATTTTGCCCAGATAGAAGTGACCGGATCGGCTGTCAAATATCACACAGCATCATCTTCATTAGCACGGTCTATGTTCAGTACGTAGGGTATGACTTCTGACGGTTAGAGACCACAGACTTATTTTCTGCGTCGTGATGTTAACCGAGACTAAAGCACAACTGCATAATAGTTATGTGCTGAAGCCTGGAGGCTTCAGCGGTCTCGGAGAGTTACAGGGGCTGAAAGGCCAATGGATAGATGACTGAACATGATATAGTCGGCAGTTTACTCATCCATTATTCAAAGCCTTGTCAGATTCAAGTCTACAAAAGCAGACAGACGGAAATGTTGGGGAATACCCCACCAACTCCGATACGACAAAGACAAGGATCGGAAAGCGTTTTCCGCGAAGCGTGTTTGTGACGCAATAAGTTGGGAGATCATCTTGGGTAGAAGCCTGGCGAGACCAGCATGTTATACAGCAGCCACGACCCTATTCCGTGTATGCCGAAGTTAGACTCTAATTTGCAAGCGGGAGAGTTTCTAGGGGGGCACTGATTCCAGTCAAAATGCTGACGATCTGAAGTACAAGGACGGAATGGAAGCTTACATTCGCGGAATAAATTGGATGGTGGACCTTCAGCTTTCTAAATCACAGCTTTTCAGATAGCGTAGTCCTATCATCGTCTTTCAACAGTCATCATCATCCCACCTCGAGGCTTTGCCTCTAGTCCTAGCTCTTGAAAGATAATATCTCCGTATGTCTGGTCCAAATCCGTGTACGAAGTTGTGGTTTTCGTACTCGGCGCCAACCCGTGGCACTTGAAAGAAAAGTCCACCAAGATCAGCGAAAAGATGATCTTCAACTCATTCATGGCAAGGTTTTCTCCCATACATGACCTCAGACCTCTCCCAAAGGTTCTGAACTGCGATCTCGGAATCTCATTGGGACCTAGCCACCGTTCAGGTGAGAAATTCGAGGGGTTCGGGAAGAATTGAGGATTGTAGTGTAGATCATGGCCGTTCATGCAAACCATCAAGCCGTTATCTATGGGGAAAGTCTCGCCATTATGGCTCACCGTTGCTTGTGGGGCGGCCTGCCTAACCGTAAATCCAATAGGAAACAGCCTCAAGATCTCTTTGATAACAGCCTCGGTGTATGGAAGCGTCTGCAACTTTTCTGGGTTGTTTGCAATGGAGCTCACGATGCTGTCAAAGTCGGACCCTAGGATATCTCTGTGCTCCTGAAGCATGGTTTCGACCACCGCCGGTGCCTCAGAAAGAAGCATAAAGGAAAACTGGGAAGCTTCTGTGAGAAGGTTGAACTGTCATAGTGATTAGAGGATCTTGTTAAGCTTACAAAAATGGTGTCTGTCGTCGTTCCATGCCCCCCGACAAGCAGATTCTTGATGCTGACCATGCATTAGCCAGTACTTGTATCAATATAGCAGGTTTGACTCACTTGGATAGAATCACAGCCTCGTCAACCTCTGACAGATTCCGAGCATTGGGTCGTTCTTTGCTTGCTTCTGATGGAGTCGGGAGGTGCTCGCGCAGCATCAAGTCCAAGATGGGCTGTGCACTTCGTCGGGACGATATGATTTCGTTTTGAGGCAATGCCACAAAGCGTTCTCGGATTTTCCTGGTCATTGAAATGTCAAGCTGTTTGGAGATTTTCTTCCTTCTCCACCAAATCTTCAAACGGGCGAACGGGTTGAGGATGACAGCCGGGTCGCTCTGGCTTTCCGCGAACGCCATCAACTCTCGCAGATCATCAAGGTCCTGGCTTCCATCTGTCTGAGCGTTGAGGGGGAAGTTGAAGATGATACGAAAGATGATATCGAAGACAAGCTTCGCTGCTACGTCCTCCAGAGAGAAGACCTCCCCGGTCTCAGATAGTTTATCCAGCAGGCTTCGAAATGGCATGCACTCCTCAGCCATCAAGCTTGCCAAGGAGCGGATATTTGCCCAAGAGAATGCCGGCAGTAACGTCGTGTGCGACTTCTTCCACAAAGGCCCATTCGAGTTTGCGATACCACCGTGGCCAACCACTGGCGTTAGTGTGTCGCCTGCGACAGGATGCCGAACAGCGCATTTGATGATCGCAGGCTGGTCGCACAACTCAGGCCGTGTCAAGATTACGCTTGGTGGTCCAATTGGCCAGAGGTCGAGGTAGAAAATTCCATCGAGGTTGTGTCGCCGTGCGAGCTCGGTGTAGTAAGCTTGCGGATGACAATTTGGTGGCAGTATTCCAGCTACGTCGCCAACTGCTTTGAGATGGCCGAGTAGCCAGCTGTGAGGCGGGCCTGGCTGTGACCGATCTTAGTCTTGGACAATAATTAGTCTAGCCCACGCTCTTGACTCACCAAATTTCGATAGAAGCGTCGTTGTTGATATCCTCGATATATGAAGCGGACAATCATGGCAAAGGCTGAGATGGCACCGACAGCAAACATCAGCCTATGCCAGGCCATTGCTCTCACCGTTTCCATCATTGTCTGATGGAATAAGCCAGCTTGCAGCGGAAAATTGAATCTGAGCGAAGACGAACTTCTTCAACGGGTAGATCCAGTCTCTTCGACTTATTGCTCGTCGGGGTGCGCGGGATGCGAAGTCGAAAGTTCTGATGCCAAAAGTCCCCCGTTTAGACATCGGGTTATATTTCCCGACTTCATGTCTTTTAAGCGAGTGGCCTCCACCTTCATCCGGGACGCAGAATACTCTGCTGTTAACGTGAAGCTTCAAGAAACCAAGAAAATTTCACGGATGATCGTTTTGACAACAGCCTTAGGCGCATTAACCTTGCATGGCCCTTCAGGGGCAAGGTCTAGATTTCCTAGTAACCACCAATGAGCGACAAGTCAATACTCGCGTATTTCAGCTTTCATGCGGGCCAGATGAGCTTGATACCACCTTATTCGAGGATTAAATGGTCTTCAGCAGTAACTGGCATGGGCCAGACTCAAATCGAGACGCATTGACGTAGGCACGCTATCGCAGACGCTATCACTGGAGACCAATGTGCGACCCTAAAGACTTTGTTGTGGAGCAATTGCGAGTAATGATGGGGACCGTTACATTGATCCCCATCTGATAAGATCAAATTTGATTGATAAGATGGAGAACTTACCGCATTGAGCTCTGTCTCCAGCCCGTCTTCACGATCTTCCGCGCGGGGTGGGAAAGCCGCGCCGGCTTCTTCCTTTCAACTCCCGACGAAGCATTTTTTGGCAGGCATCTAGGCAGTCGAAACATCTTGGCAGCATACAGTGCCCCTCATTCGTGAACCCTTGTTAACATTACAAAACGAGAACAGGATTTTCTTCAGCAATCGCAGGACTCATTGATGGATCGGGCTCCGGGAATTGCGCAGGTGGGCGGCAGGATGTGGTGTATATAAAATGCAATGGTTGATATTTGAACGCAAGGAGTGGAAAAGTGCGCTCCGTCCTGTAAACGAGTATCCCCTGAAAGGCCTTACAGCTTTGCGTCATGGCTTCAGTGGCGCCTGGAGGGACTGGGCTGCCCATCATCGCCCAGAACTCGACCGCGTTTGGTGGGTTTCTGCCCCCGGTTGAGTCAAATAAGGCTTTGACCATAGTTGCAATCTCGTTCATCTTCCTCCTTCTGCCATATGCGTTTCCCAACACCCCATTCCGACCACACATCAGCTCCGGCAAGAAGCCTGCAAAGGGATCGAGCCTCATTCCTCTTACTTGGTCTCACTTCAGAGGGGTCTTCGACGTCCTCAAATTCCTCACCGTGTCGTATGTGCCTTTTACTTGTGTAGAGGCCCACCAATAGTAGGCAAGGCTAACCCTTCTGATGTTTAGCGATCTCTTTCATCGAGCTTCACCACTTCAGATCAAGTGGTTCAACTTCAGCTGCTACATCGTTCAAGGCGCAAGCAACATCCGAACCACCTTCCAGAACAAGTCCCTCTCGACGTTCTTCTTTCAGGGCATCTTCGTCCATCGCGTCTTTCTGTTGCCTAAGAAAGACCTCGGCCTCTTCTGGACAGAAGAAGAAGAGGCAAAAGAAGATGGCCCATCCAAGCATGGTGAAGAAGAGGTCCGCAATGACTTCGGAGCCCGCAGTCATCACCACATCAGCAACCTCCTCTCTGGTCCAGGGACGAAGGGTTTCAATGACCGTTTCGACGAAGCGTTGGCGAAGAACATGCGAAGCTTGACTGCAGGCAACGCGGAACACGAGCTCCATGATCTGAAGGAGTCGTTAGATATGGAGATCGTGCGTTCTTTCATCGACACTCTATGTGGGCCTTACTTGCTGAAGGAGAACCCCATGTTTTTGGAGGACTGGCAATACGTCCACGACAACATTACCCTTCTGTTTCTCCGCCTTCCCAACTTCTTGATGAGTCGCATATATCAAGCTCGAGATAGGTGCCTCCGTGCTGTTCAAGAATGGAACGAGTGGGCAGTTGCGAACTTCCACCCCGACACCATCTCAGAGGACGGATTCGATCCTTACTGGGGCCATGCGTTCTTCCGCGATCGTACAGCCATGTACATCGATGTCGACCGATTTCCTTTCTCTTCTATCGCAGCTCACAACCTGGGGCTTCTCTGGGGGTATGTACAAGTCTCGCGTGTCCCTTCTCATACAAGTTCGTGACACTGACTTTTTCGCAGAGGCACAGCAAACTCCTCACCGGCCGCTTTCTGGGCCATCCTTGAGATATGCCGCGACCCAGAGCTTATGCGTGTGGTGAAGGAAGAGGTGGCAGACTGTCGCATTGCAGATGTCGATGGCGGACCTCGTTTCGACATGGAAAAGCTCTTGAAGAAGCCGATCTTGCAAGCCGTCTTTGCCGAGACCCTTCGCCTAAGAGTCCACGGCATCATCCCTCGCAAAACACCTGTCGATGGAGTGAACGTGCGGGGCTCCCTTATTCCCGGGCATCGGCTATTCTTCGTCAACTCGACTACTGAGCACATGAACCCATCTGTTTGGTGCACCGGGGCTGCCAGGAGCCACCCGCCCGAGGAGTTTTGGCCAGGGAGGTTCCTCTTGCCTGAGAAGACCAGCAGCGGAGAGTTTGTCTACAGCATCAACGGCAAGTCCGGATCGTGGCTGCCATTCGGAGGCGGAGCGCACATGTGCCCAGGACGATTCCTCGCGAAGCGCATTCTGATAGGATGCGTTGCTCATTTCATTACCTTATATGATTGTGAGATCACTTCTGATAAGGCGGTGCGTGGAGAGACGGGTATGAGCTTGAGAACCTTTGGCCTGGGAACTCTGCATCCTTCGGGCCACGTCGGAGCACGTCTCAAAGCCCGTAACACGAGTTCGACCTGAAGGCAGAAGATGAGGTGTGGTTCTGCAGCAGCCGCGTATCCAGGAATGCAACGGGATTTTGTGAATGAAAAATATTCGTAAAACAGAATAGATGACCTTCATACTCATACACGCCAACACCTTTGTCCGTTTCCAACAGCTTTTACCCTGGAACCAATCTCAAGTGGATGGCCCGATGATATCATGAAATGGTCTCGTTCCTCGTCTGCCAAGCCTAGCATGTCATAAATGTTGCGGCTGATCAGATCAAGTGCCGCCGTCTCACTTATCCTGTGTCTCCCATTGGCGTATGCAACCCCGGCGAGAAGTCCCAAGTCCCGAATGAGCCAATCTTCCTCGAGGCCGATGGCCGTCAGTACCCCCGCGTTGACGAGAACATCGATCGCCGTCCCGTTGGTCAGAGGTGCTCCTGTAAGGGCCCTTCGTTGATCCCACGAAACTGCAAAAGATTGCGACGGGGCGAGGATGACACCTACGCCAGCTGACGCGAGCTGTTCGGCAACGAGATGCGCTTCCGCACCGCCGACAACGACAAGCCTTAAATGCCTGCCACCCAGATGGGCCTCTTTGATGGTGTCCTCAATTGAAGACTTTACATCCAACAGAGCTGCGATGGTATCGGCACTATGCACAGTAACCGCTAGAGCCATCCTTCCCTGTATCACCGCACGAAGGAATGAAGCCTCTGAGAACTTCTCTTCAAAGTTGATGGGCTTTGCAGACGCAAGGGAGGCCACGGCTCTCAAGAGTTTGTTGCGCAGGTCACCGACGGCTGCAGACATAGACGGGATTCCATCGACTGCCCGTTTAGCTGAGAGGTCGAGCGTGTAGTGTAGCGCGGCATCTCGAGCAAAGATGGCCCCAGAGCCGAGTACCGTCTCCGCTCCGGTCAGGAACCCCGCACTGGTGCCGTGGTGGGTCGCGATGCCGGTGAACTTCGGGGCCGAGATAGCCCTTGTAACACCGTATCGATGGGCAACACGGAGTTTCTCTGTATCGAGTGCGAGACCATCAACCCCGCGGCTGAAGCGACCCCCGTCTGCTCCGTTGTCCGTGACACTCTCGGTCTCAATGTAGTTCAGACCTAGCGTCGAGCCAAAGGCGGTAAAGGCTGGTGAGAGATGCCCGTTCTTGACGTCGATCACAGCACCCTTGACCTTGGACGCGGTCTTGAGCTCACGGTCGCAGATTCCGACACAAGTAATCCTGCCATTGGAGACGGCCACGTTGTAGCCGTCTCCATCAGCGGCAACGCCTGCTTTTTCGACAGACATAAGAACCTTTGAGATACCAGTGAAGACCACGTCGCTGTTGATCATAGCTGACTCCTCCCCAATATTTCCGAGGTCCTCATCCGGTACAAGCGTCCCTTCAAATGGCTTCTGCAGTTCGAATGGACTCTCATACTGAGCTGTGCCATCAATCCAGACCTGAACCGGGGTCGCACCAACACTCAAAGGATCGCTGTCCCAAACGACGATATCGGCGTCATAGCCAGACTTGATCTTACCTAGGCGCTCACCAAGACCGAGTCGCTCTGCGGGGGCTGTTGTCACCGATGCAAGCGCCGCGTGGTATGGTAGTCCATATTTATAGGCTTTAGCGGCTTCGAAGACGACATGCTGGGCGTTCAGAACCGGGTTATCGCTGACGTAGATGGGAACGAGACCCGCATCATAGAGATGCTTGCCAGCATATTCGGAACCTATGGCGGCCTCGGCCTTATACCACATGTTATCGGCGAAGAGTGCTGATGCCGGTGGATCGTCACCCCAAGCCCGCTTCAGTATCTTTAAGACCAAGCCAAGTCAGCTGGAGTACAACATGTTGATACAAAAGGGGACCCACCTCAGGCACAAGATGAGTTTGGTGGGCGTGATGGAAAGCCCTGATTGGGAATTTGAACTCATTCGTATGGTCAACGAAGGCTTCGAGGTCGTTGATGGTGTAGCAGTGGGTGTGAACGTGGACCTGGCCACTTAAGAGAGCTACCAAGCCTTCCCATTCGAGCTCGAAGGGTAGATACGTCTTGACGTTATCCAGCCCATGGGCAGCATTTCGACACCAATCATCTTGTTCGCGCTTCAACTTGGTGGCGTGCTCAAAAGCTTGGCGAAGCTCCCAGCTCTCACCCAGGCGACTGTACGGACCACGCTCGCCAACTTTCCCGTGGATCTGCTTGGCGTTTTCACCGCAGGCCATCTTCATGTACCGCCACGTCCGATCCGGGTCTGCCAACATATCGATAACACTTGTTTCGTTTCGCCCATCCTGTCGTCCGATAGCATGCTTGATTGGGAAGGCCTCTCCACCGATGTTGTTGCTGGAGCCAGGGAGGATCAGTGACGTCGTCACGCCCCCGGACTTGATGACCTGAAGCTGATGATCCGTCGGCTGGATGCCGTCAATTATCCTGACATAGGGCGTGATGTCCTTCGAAAGTTCGCTGACATCCTCATTGCCGTGTATGGTCGGTAGAGAGTGTACAGCGGCATGGCTGTGCATATCGATGATGCCAGCAGTGAGGGGGCGGCCTTTAGCGTCGTAAACCAAAATATCCTCAGGCAACTCTTTCACCGCAATTGATTTAGCGACATCCTTGATGAGGCCGAATTCGACAAACACGTCTGCCTGTATCCAGCTGAAGTTCGCTGTCCCCTTGACCGGCTCCCCGGTCCAGACCGTCGCGTTCTTGATGAGAGTGGGCCTGTGGCCGTCAACATACCGGGAGTTCCTTGCCCGCCCGTACCCGGCGGGATCCACCGGTTTGTGATGCAGTTCGGCGCATGTTGCGAGATCTTCTTTGAGTTGCGCGATTGAGAGGCCATGCACGTTAGATTCGGAGTTCGAATATCTCCCAATGGATGATATTTGCCGCCATTGCGCGTAGACGATGAACGCGAGGCAAGCCAGGCCAAACACGCGCAGGAATCGCGACCTGCGGGGTAATTGGAGACGGGATTTCGAACCCCTCACGGAGCTGGTGGCGGGGTTTTCGCCAATGGCGCTGTAGGGAGGAAGCTCATTCTTTCCGGCGAACATGGGCTGCTGATTCGATGGCAGATTCGTCTGATGGGACAATTTGACGTGGACGACAGAGCCACTGGAAGGTCGAGGGACGGGCATGTTTATTTCAGCGGGATGGTGTTCGACACGAGCACCTTGAGGGGCTGGACCCCCTGAAAGACAGGGATGTTGGAGACGGAAGAGCTCGCCTACAGCTAGACTAAGTGAGCTAAGAGAATCCAGGTCAGTTGAGCGGAGCTCGGCATGTTGGAGGAGGGATCGAGAAACCCTCGTTTCGTCAGTGATCGAGGATCGAACGTCTGTGGACTGGATGGTTGTTATTCTCAGTCATTATCAATGAGTGCATTTTGGTCATTTGCACCTCAAAGTTAAGAACAATTCTGTTCTTTCGGTACATCTCGGCCATGTCTAAAACCACAGAAGAGTGTGGGGTCATTGGCGTCACGGTCGCATCATCTGGTAGCTTTACGTCCAAGAAATCAATGTTTTTACACAAACAATGTGCATGTATTCATTTGACTATTTGTATTGTTTACGGCCAAGAAAGGGACAAGTTTCAATGCCCCTCATTGGTGAATGCTTTGCTTAGTGAGCCTCGACCAGGGCCTCCTTCACCAAGGGCTCCTTCTGGACGTCCTCAACCTTCGCCTTGGCCAGCTCAGGCTGGGAGTACGGGGTCCACTCCTCATCGGCAGACATGCCACCGTACAGCATAGACGGCGGGGCAAGAGCCTGGATATCAGGGGTAGCCTTGAACAGGAAGAACTTCTCGTCGTGCCACTGGCCAGCAGTGATGTAGCGGCCCTCGCTGTCCTTGAACATGGTGTCGTTCTCGGCACGGAGGAAGTAAGCAATGGAGTAGCGGTGCTCATCCGGGCGGAAGGGCACGACACGGTGGATGCAGGACATGAAGGTGTGGCCACTAGCAAAGCGCAGCGAGTCGCCGACGTTGATGATGGCGCAGCCGGGCTTGGGGGCGACGAAGCCGAACTCCTTGGTTCCGGGAGGGCGGATCTGCAGGCCCCACTCCTCGGCGAAGAGGAGTGTCAGGGAGGAGATATCGGTGTGCTTCTGGTGGCCGATCTCCTTGTCCTTGAGAGGATCGGCCGGGACGTAGTGCATCATGGCCAGGGTGGAGGTGGAGGGGCGGTCGTTGCGGTGGGCGTTCTCGTAGCGGGAGGCGCCGGTGAGGCCCATCGCGGAGGAGAGACCGGAGAGGATCGCCTTGGTGACGATGTTGGAGCCGGAGATGGCATTGCGGAGGACGCGCTTGTCGGTGTCGTTCTTGAGGATGGCGGGGAACTTGGGGTCCTTGCGCTGGATCTCGTCTCTGGAGACCTTTGGGGTATGTAAGTGACTCGCGTAAGTGGCGGAGCGGGGATGATGCCGATCTCACCTTGAACATCTCATATCCGTCTCTGGTGTTGGGAAGACCGCCGGTGCGGGAGCCGACGCCCTCGTAGCTAATTGGCTTGTTAGTCTAACCATTGTTATCGTCTGCGGATTGAGCATATACTCCTTACCCAAGGTGTGCGGTGACGAGGCCGAGCTCGTTCTTCTCCTCAATGGGGTGGTCGAAGTAGCGGTGCATCATCTTCAGCGTCTGGTGCTGGTCATCGAGGAATCTCTGGCCATCGAGGCTGTCGAGGTCCAGGTAGAAGAAGCCGGACTCGCGACAGCATCGGAGCAGGTTCTCGAGCTCAGCGGGCTCCTGGGAAAGGACTCGTCCGAAGTCGACAGTCTCCATGGGGTAGATGGGGACGCGCTTCCCCGCCCACTCGACGGTCTGCGGGACTTCGGTGGAGACACCCATGATGTATGTTCAGATAACCTTAAGAGGAGATGGAGTTGAAAGATGGGGATATTCCGTGGAGCGCTAAAGTCAGTGAGAACAGCTTTGAAGATGGACAAAAGCTCTTTCGCGTTCGAGCTCTTTTGAGAGCTTCCGACCCCTCCTTTTTATAAGCTCTCGCCCAAGAGGACTAGACCCTGGATACGAGAGCTCTTGCATAGGCGCGCTACTGGCACAGCATTCGCCCCTCACGATCAGCCAACGCTGCCACGGCGTAAACATACCCGCCCACATCTCATCATGTCTTATCCTCCTTCCACATTGTTGTAGATTAACACCGTCTCCATAGAGTGAGACCTACACTAGAGTTTCATGCAGTCGTGCGGGGTCTCGGTCCAATCGGCACCTGTCCCCATATCACATGTGTGGCTGCGCCGGCCGGACTAACGCTGAAAACAATAGGCCATGACAGCTTCCTCGCAGCTTGGAGGAGCTTTCTTGGCCATTTCCAGAGAGGAACAGAGCTCCTTCGGCGCCTACTCCGTATCAAAAGTGGGAACTCGACCAAATAGCTTGCCCTGTAGGCGATGGCAACTTCGCGCCGCGACCGCGCATCTTTTGGCTCCGTTTCGTGTCTCACTATACTCAATCGGATACGATCCGTCGCATGCAGGGCGTAGGATTGCACCATTTTTCTTGGCTCTTATCACTTCCACAAAAAGCCGCATCGTGGTCTCAGCCAGCCCCAAAAAGAGCGAAGAAGAAACTATCGTCCCTATTGCAATATCCAAGTTTAGCCAAATACGTGTACCCAGACAGTTGGCCTGGGCAGAGCCCAACACCCCGCTCTCGGCAGATTGCTTTACGTGCTTTGAATGGTAGAAGGCGACGCGAGATGCGATCCCACCTTGTCGGCCTTTTATCCGACACTAATAACGCCAAGCCCGGCAGATGCCCATCTTGAGAGATAATTGCTTATTCATTGGACCAGATCACAGGCAAGGGACGCACGATGTCTCAATTCAGTGAGCTCTCGGATCTTCTTGGCAACCGGGGAAGACAATCAATCTCTCTTGAAGAAGACAACGAAACAGAGAAGTGAGCATAGAGAAGTCATCATCATCGCACGGTCGTGAGCCACGTTGTCACGGACCAAAGTTAATCTTGCAGCCCCCAACTGGAAGCACAGGCAGAGCTCCCGATGCTGACAGCCAGCCCTCCGAGCTGTCGCCACGCGGCGACCCGGGAGCACCCGCCTGAAGACCCCTGGCTAGGATCTGACACTAGTGGTTGGCCATCATTTCATGTTGCTCTGGCGATGCGGGGTACACGCAGGTGGGCGGCGTCCGCGGGTGAGGCCAGCCCGCCGGGCGAAAAGTATCCTCTTACGTACATGAGATGGAGATGGTCAATAATCGGAGGAAAGGTCCCGTTCCAAAGGCCCCCACGCGGTAAGTGAGACGAACACCTCGTGGAACTGAGACTGGTTCAGACGACAATGTCTGAGAACGCGCGGCGACAGTTCCTTGGGTCCGGACACGTCAATGAAATCTACGTCAGACCATACGGGTTCACGATCAAGCGACGTAAGCGACAATTAAGCCGAGTTGGCGAGTACATTGCCAGATTTCACGGCGCATGTTTCGTCAGTCTTGGCCCCTTACCGATGTTGTACGCAATTCTTCAAAATGGCTATTTTCTGGCCGATCGAGCTGTCCAAGGAGGAAACCCGACGGTCCTCCAATCACGTAGGCAAGGGTTTATCACGAGACGTTGCAGAGGGAGACTTGGCATACATGAAGCAAGGCAACTGATGAAACCTTATCTTAATTCCGCTGACTCTCAAGTGCTGAAGAATGTCTAAACGGAGTGAATAAGTTTGCGAAATGACGACTTAAGTCCGGTTTCCCTCGTGTCAAATACTTCCGACTCCGCTTTCTCTTGTCGGATTGATGCAAACTCCGTCTCGAAATCCATTTGGGAAGGTGAGATGACCCGAGACTTGAGGTAAAACTTAAAGAAGACGTACAACGCTGCATATTGATTAGCTCGCTGACAAATCTTAGCAGGCGAGGGGAGATATTTTACCAGCAAAGATGAAGACGTTCAGATAACAGGTCAAAAATCCCGAAGCCGTGAAGTTTCCGGTAGTGAAGACGTCAAAGCCAGAGAAAAAGACAACCAAAACAACAGCAACTAGCGTGATCCATGACACGTAAGGCTGTCCAGGGCTTCGATAGGGAAGATCTGCGATCTCAACGTCAGCGAACGTTCTGGGAGATTGATGCGGAACTGGGGTCTTACCTTTCCGAGAATGCCCTTGCGCCTTCAGTCCTGCATAGAACCGGAGATAGGTGACCTCAATGACAATCCAGCCAATAAGACCAGCGACTGTTGTGATGTTCACGAACCAACCAAACACAACGGAAGTGTTGTTTCCAACATTCAGGTACACAAGCGGAAATAAGACGCATGTCAAAGCCACAGCGACATAAGGTGTTCCAAAGCGGTTACACCGTTGGAGGATCCTCGGGGCATGGCCATCGCAGCTGAGACCATAAAGCGTTCTAGAGGCAATGAAGACGCAGGCTGATCCACTGCTGATTGCAGATGTGCAGACGACAGCGTTGATGATCGATGGCAAGACAGACACGCCAGAGCGAGTGAAGGCGATGACGAATGGGGATTGCTGAGCCGTGCCAGTTGAGACACTCAGAGCCGGGTCGTTGGACGGACTACAAGTCGGTCAGCTTCAGAGTTGCGAATGAGGCCCAACAAAGCAACTTACACAATCATCCCAACAATAAGAATGCTCAGAACATAGAAGACAAAGACCCGAAAGAAAGTCTTTCTAGTCGCTGCAGGAATAATCTTCCTCGGATGGCGAGTCTCAGAGCCAGAAATGGCCACGACTTGGATGTTGCCGTAGCTGAAGGCAGCAGATAGCAACACTTTCCAGAAAGCCAGGAAGCCTCCAGCTGAGCCAGAAACAATATAGCTGTTGAAGGCTCCGGGGTCTTGCCAGTAACGGAAACCAAGACGCTCATGATTGGGCCCGCCGCCGAGGTTGATCACTAGTCCGCCAATGATGAGGCCAATGATGGTCATTATCTTGAGAGAAGCAAACACAACTTCAGTTTCGCCATAAAGCCTGACCCCGGCAAAGTTCACGACGATGATGAAAAAGAGAAAGACAGTAATCCAAACAGCTGGGTTGACTGAGGTGTTCCAGAATTGAACAAGAGTTGCCGCTGCACTGATCTCAGCCGGCACCGAAATTGCCATGGTGTACCCTAATTCCTAAGCATCAGTCAAGCTGCTCTCAAGTCTGCAGAACTCTACAACTTACAAAAGTTCCATCCGGTCGCAGCGCCCAGAGCTGGCTCTACAAACTTCGTCGCATGTCGGATAAAGCCGCCAGTCGCCGGCATGAAAGATGTGATCTCGCCCGTGGTGTATGAAACGCCTGCCGTAACGAATCCCATTACAATATAGGCTAGCAGTGCACCTGCGGGTCCTGCAGTTGCAATCACCGAGCCTGAGCTGAGGAATAGACCAGTTCCCTTGCGTTAAATGTCAAGAAAATAGCCAAAAGTTTGAGAGAACACCAACAACTCACGATCATTCCTGCAATCGCAATCATGTTGATATGCCGGGAGCTCAAGTCGCGCTTAATCCCGCCCTCTGCGTCTGACACAGACACATTCTGCCCTCCGTCCAAGTCTGGCATCGGGGCCGTGTCTGACGCCGCATCGTATTTCTCTTTCCCCTCCATTGCATACGAGGTGATTCCAAAGTCACAGACTTTGAATTTTGGGGCTCACTATGAGCTGAGTTGTGTTTCGCTCAAATTCACAGCATGCACTGTTAACCATGCGACCCGGCAGCGGGTCAGGCGTGGTTGGCCATGTTATATCCGCAGTTGTGTCTTTGACCCTGAGTTAAGCAACCGGCATGGCGTTGCTACCGGGCCAGGGGACTGCTGCATTGGGGATCACCGGACGAACTTATCTGCTAGTATCCGCGGCCTATCAAGATAGTCGGGGGTTTACCGACTTTTAGGACGCCGGTGCGGGGCTCGATTGGTCATTTAGGACGCCGGGCGATATCGCGGGGCTGTCGTTACAGGGACTTGCCATCGGTAAAATCGTCAGTAAGATAAGACGACTCGCCGAGACTTATTGTTGAATGCCTGGTCAGCCGAACCTTTACTGAGATCTCAAGGAAATTTAGCAATGGCATCTGAAACAGCGGCACCCGATGAGTTCCAACTCTTTGACCTTCGGGTCGAAGTTGTTTGCCCGCCAGGCAAGCGAATCATGTGTGGGGCAAAGGAGGGCGACCATTTCACCCTGAAAGGCGAGATGTTGTACCTGCCTCCGGATCAAGGAATCAGCATATACAGCTTAGGTATGTCTAGTTTTCAGAAGATGAGAGACGGTAGTGCAGTGAATAATGATGGCTACAGCATCCGTACTGCCACTTCTCGCGGCCAAGCAGAGAGTCACCCACAAACATGACTGGATGACCAGCGACGCCTTAATTGCTTGCCCTGATCCATGCTGCCCCTCTCAGCTAAAGATCATCCGAGAGGGAATCCGAACTTTTCGCCATTCCGAGACAACGGCTGTGCCCTTGACAGGAAATTCATGAATTTAAAGGAGGTTTTGAGTTTGTAAGGTAGACAAGGAATGATGGAATAGACATTCATGAATCTGATCAATCAATGGTATTTTCAAGACTTCAATTGTGCCTAACTATTGGCTACTCTTATCCAAAGAAAACCCCATCTTGAGCACTGAATCCAGCTTCCGCGATGAGACTCGCCCAAGTAGCTTCTTCTGCAGACTCGAAAGTCAGTCCTGTCCCAGCAATGTTTGCGCCCCTTATCGGTGCAATGAAACTGGCTGTCTCGCCAGAATCCCATCGCGAGTCGTCACAATTTGGCTGCGTGCTTGATATCGTGGAATGTTCGCCTGCTTCTACCGCAATACTCTGATCTTGTCCCCTGCCATGGACGTGTGGCCTTTCTTTCGGAAACCTTGTAGTGATGTTGTCGAGAAACTTAGCTTGCAGTGCACAACTCGAACCAGGCGGAGCGGCCTGCTGGGAGAACACCACCGCCGCGCCAGAAATGGCGCTCTTGATGGCAGGCTCGATTTGACGAGTTACTGATTCTGGCGCAGACATCAGGAGCTGTATTTCTTGTTGTCAGTTTGGTACTTGGTTGGATGACCTACAAGAGTGGATTACCTTGATCAAGAAAGCGGCGCTGTACGCTGTCATCACATGGACTGAATCTTGGGCAAAATACAGCCAAGATGAATGGCGGCATATGAGATGCAGCATCTCCAAAGCACTCGAGAAGCTGACCCATAGTGCTTCCATGCGGTGTGAGGACCCTTCATCCGGCTGACCTAGAGTCTCTTGGAGGGGTAAGGAGAAGAGCTGTAGCCGGAGATGGGTTCCGTAGAATTGGATCAAGAAAGGATGACAGCTGTCTGTGTGGAAATGTTAGCGGCACTCAAGCCCTGGAGTTATTGTGGCCCATCTTACCTTCATCGGCCAGCTTTAGCCATCTTCCCTCCCATTCTTCTATTCTCCCGTTGATGATGGCGAGAAGGGACTCGAGCGTATGGAGCTGGCCTGCACGAGCCCTATTTGATCTCGAACCCAGTAAGCGAAAGACTTCTGAACTAAGAAGTCGCAGGGTAACTAAAGCACCGAGGAGACGATCATTTGAGATAGCCGTAGGGTCCTTGCACCACGCCTCCACAGACTCAATGAACCCACTCCTCTCAATCATCCATGGCTTTCCAGTTTGTAGACTCATGCTGGTAGGAGTTAGTCAGTTGTCGCCTTATCCGCCCCTCTAGCTAGCACGCTCACCTTCGGTCATATACGAACAAAACAAGCCATGTTCTCTCAATATTTCTCGCTTCCCGAATTTCGTGATCAGTCCCGATATCGGAAGTTTTGAGGCTGTACGGGGCAAGCCGGTGCCAGCCCAACTCCATTCCCATTCTGATGATGTATCCCAAGTACATCCACGCACGCGTATCTTCGGGGTCTTTCCAGTAAGTCATGATCATGATTGCTTGAGCCGTCTCGATCGACTTCGAGCCTCTACGAAAACTGTCGGCAAGCATATCCTCTGCATGATCCCGGAGCTTCTTGTTGAGAGCAGGATTGAAAGCCTTGGCCGCCGCGGCGAGTATGACAGTCACAAGAAAAGCAGATTTCTTCCTCACGCGACTGAAACTGTGTAGATGCGGATCTAGCTGGCTGATATATGGGTTAAGAGTGACCATGAAACTGTGTGTATTGTTAGTGAGCGTCTTCACAGGTCTGGATGGAGACACTACTTCTCAAATAGGGACGAAGCAATGGACAGATTGACCAAGCCAAGTTGAATAGGATCGTCTGAAGGAATTGCCAGATCGTCTTCTCTAGTCTCTGGTATTGTTATATCCGACGCGTTCAAGATGCTTCCCAGACAAAACCCCTTTCTTGTAGTTTGACTCTTGAATATTCCGGCTGGTTGGAGCGTACCGTTATCCCAGTCGGGACTTTTTTGAACTGCCGTCGCTGCAGCAGAGTCATCATACGGTTGTTCAGTTGAACTCGTCTGATCAGGTGGAGGGGTGCTGGCGAGGTGCTTCGAGGAGGTGCTGTGTCTCTTCGCAATCCTAAACCCCCAAATTGAGCGTCAACTACCTGGTTTTGTGTGATGTGACTGTTCGAACGACGCAACGCACCGTGTTCCAGGCTTCCTTCCCCGGCGATGATCCTGAAAAACGCAATTAAGCGACTTGCGCGAACAACGCGCACATATTGTCTCATTCTCCCCAACAACACATCGCATCTTAACAGTTCTGCACGGCAAGCACGCCTTCACACTTGAATTGGCCATCAGCTCATCAGCATTTGCGCATTGACGCATCGCGTCGTACCCGAGAAGCTTACACGGACTTTGGGCCCCGCGGAGCCTCACTGAGGGCCTCCATAGTCTCTTTTCGGCCAGGCAACGTCGATTGATTGGATTGAACTGTGCGGTCAACAGACTGGCGATAGTTGCCGCCGTCGGTGTCTTATTGATCAGATGAAGCCCGGTCAAATTTCGGAAAACCCCACCCGCGGTATCTCGTCGGCTCTTCACCAAGGGTCCCCGCGGTCATGTCTCATGATAAGTTATCGGCGCTACTCCCAAAACGTCCCCTCCGCTTCCCCGCTTCCGACTGGCTCCCTGCCAACTCCGATAACAAGCTCTCGCCGGCATTCCACAGGCCGGTTTGAACGCCGGCGACGGGAATCCTTAACGACATTGGCTTATTCCCGCGCTGTGACGACAACGCTTGCATCTGAGTCGAGATTGTGTTTGTACGACGCAATTTGGCAGTATCGTGACGCCGGGCACTGCATCGACGATTGTATCTTTTCCTTAGACAATTCACTGCCAACTTCGACCGTCAAGATGGCAGCAGGTACAGGGGCCAGCAGGGTCAAGACGGCCCATGTCAACATGATGACCGACAGCATCATTACGAATATGACGCCTGAGGGAATGCGGGTTATCATGCGCTCATTGTTGGCGTCTCATCCAGAAATCACGTCCACATTCGAAGCAGAGACGAGGAGCTACATCCAAGATGTGGCTCTTCCGAAATTCCAGGCTCAGTCTAGAGGTCTGGATACGTCGTCATTGAAAGCGACTCAGAAGACAATTCGGTGCATGATGGGATGCGGCCTCAGTCACGAGAGCATCACCCTCATGGGCAACTTGACTATGCAGGGTGTCGATCTACTCCTCAGCCAAGGGACGAGCACGGAAGAGTTTCTAGCATCCATCGACGGAGATGTTGTGCAGCTGATAACTGCAATAGAAAAGACCCTGCTCTCAGCTGGGCGCTCTAAACTTCTGGACGAGGAGCGAAAACTCCTCGACAGCCTGCACCAAGCCCTGGTTGACTGTAAGGCAACCACAAACGAGAAAGGTCTTGATTATCCTTACACGCGGGCATTGACGACAACTTGCATCCTCCTGGAAGTCCCGATCCCAGCCTTCGACGACCTCAATACGCCAGAAAATACCCTGCAGGTCACTCCTCCCGAAGCCAAAGAGACCTTCGAGATGAACGGGCGCAAACTCCCCAGAATCTTCTCGGGTCTGTGGCAGATGTCGAGTCCATCGTGGGGTTCAGCACCAACTTCCAAAATCATCGCCCAGTTCTCCCAATATGTCAGCTCTGGATTGGTTGCTTTCGACATGGCTGACCACTACGGCGATGCGGAGATTGTCTTTGTGAGTTGCCTCGAGGCCTTCTGATAAGATCTGAAACCTAGCTAACAGTACATCTAGGGACGTTTCAACGCTTCGTATCCTGTCAAGGGAGCGACGTTCGCCGGTACCAAGTACTGCGTGTTCAATCCTGTGACCGTCACTCGTGAGGTTATTCAGGCCAACGTATCTGAGAGATGCAGGCGACTGCGAACGGACAAGATTGACTTGCTGCAATTTCACTGGCAATTTGTGAGTCTCAAGCTATTATTGAGCATGTTTTGGAAGTCCACAGCCTGACCAAAACATAGTACGAGGACCCTCAATACATCAATGCATTGCAGTTCTTGGCAGAAGACTCACGAGTTGGGACTTTGGGTCTTTGCAACTTTGATACGCACCACATGGAGAACATTCTTTCTCATAACATCAAGATTTATTCAAATCAGGTCCAGGTAATGAACCTCCGAATTCACAATTGAGGGCGGGTGAGCTGACATGCTTCTAGTTCTCTCTAATTGATTCCAGACCAGTCGTGGGCATGGCCGAGGTGTGTGAGAAGCACAATGTAAAGCTTCTCACGTACGGGACTTTGGTAAGTTTGCCCGGGATGAACTCATCATGTTCACCAAATAGGTGCTAATCATCCGATCACAGTGTGGTGGTTTCCTTGCCGAGAAGTGGCTCGGTAAGGATGAACCTGATCTGTACGCCGAGACAATCACCCCAAGCCAGCGCAAGTACTACGCCATGATCAAAAGCTGGGGTGGATGGGAGCTCTACCAAGAGCTTTTGCGTACATTGAAATCAGTGAGCTCCAAGCACGGCGTCAGTCTCTCCACGGTTGCGATTCGCTGGGTCCTGGACTTCCCCTACGTCGGCGCCGTCATTGTGGGTGCTCGTATGGGTATTAGTGAGCACGCGGACGAGAATACGGCTGCGCTCGGCTGGTCTCTGGATGAAGATGATCGAACCTCGATTGAACAAATTCTGAAGAGAAGCAAGAGGATGGAGATGTTTGAGGACATGGGCGACTGCGGTGGAGAATATCGCTAGACTCTTTAGCCCAAACCTGGGCAACGTAGCCTAGGAGCGCAGCGTTGCCTGATTAACTTCATTTTACCCTCGTCTGTTATCTGAGATATTGAATGATAGCACTCAGTGCCTGACTATGGAATTCGATATCTGGAAACTCCAATCTTGCCGATGATATTCCCGGGGCCATGGCACTGGTAAATCCAGTCGATATGAGAAAGCCAGGATTACCTTGCAAGCAGAACATCAACTCCGGTTTCCGGGGACGCGGGCTGCAAATCGCATTTAGCCGGAGCCATATCTTCCATGCCTATCAGTGGAGTTGACGTCCGATATGCCAATGGCGATGCCGAATATTAGGGTTGCAGTGGCCGGTAATCTAAGATAATGAGAGCTGGAGTTGAGAGGCCGGCGCGGGGACCAGCCCGCACACCGCCCATCAACCCCGGTCCGAAGGATCACGAGGTCAAAGAGGGTCAAATTAAACAACAGATGAACGATAGCAGGCACCATATATGCAGTGCAAATGTCATGCAGGAGTAGAAATTCGAGTCCATGGAGCCATCTATGGTCCAACCCCAGATTGTTGAATTACTGGCGTTCTGCGGACATCTTCGCGGTTCACAGACGGCATCATGAGGGCCTCGTCAACGCTAATACTCGCCTCATGGGCGTCAACTTCTCTGGCAGTGCAGCCATGGCTGGACAAGACACTCCCATTTGAAGAGCGTCTTGATTTATTCATCGCGCAGCTCAATGACACTCAGAAGCATGCCATGGTCCAAGGCGACACGGAGGTAAGCCTTCATCATCCACTGTCTTCTCCTCATGATACTGACAACATCAAAGCTTACCGACAATGGAACTGGCGTCAACGCTTGCATTGGCCACATTCAAGGCAACTCGACCCTCGGCATCCCGGACATCTGCATGGGCGACGGCCCGGCAGGAGTCGGCAACTCTTTGAACAACGTCACGGCCTTCCCAGCCCCTGTCATGGCCGCATCGTCGTGGAACACCTCCATCCAGTACGACTACGGCCAGGCGCTCGCACAGGAGCACATGGGAAAAGGGCGTAACATCGTCCTCGCTCCGACAATCAACATCCTCCGCTCACCGCTGTGGGCTCGCGCGGCCGAGACTCTCTCCGAGGACCCCTGGCTGACTGCCCGCATGGCCGTTGCGGTGACGCAGGGAATCCAGAGCCAGGGCGCGCTGGCTTGCCCGAAGCATTTTGCGGCGTACAATCAGGACACCAACCGCTTTGGACTCGGCCCTGAGTGGGTCACGGTGAACGCGGTCGTCGACGAGCGGACTATGCACGAGTTGTATCTGCCTGCCTTCAAGGCAAGTGTGCAAGAGGCCGACGCGGCTTGCGTGATGTGCTCATACAATCGACTGAACGGCGATTTCACCTGCGAGAATGATTGGCTTCTTAACACCACGCTGCGCCAGGAATGGGGCTTTGAAGGTTTCGTGGTCGCGGACTGGTATTTCTCGACGAGGAGCACGGTCCCTGCCGTCATGGCCGGGTTGGATATCTCCATGCCTGGTGGGGATTTGACGGACAGTTATGGCTTCCCTGCGTACTATGGAGATCTGCTCGTGCAAGCAGTCAACAACGGGTCTGTTCCGAGAGAGCGCATTGATGATATGGTCAAGAGGCTCTGGAGGTACATGTTCAAACTGGGACAGGTTGACAACCCCGTCACTGGCGACTCGACGGCTCATGTTCGCACACAGGAGCACCTGGACCTTGCACAGAAAATGGTGGAAGAGGGTGCAGTGCTTCTCAAGAACGAGGACAGCACATTGCCTCTATCACCTGAGAAATACACCAAGATTGCCGTTTTTGGCATTGGTGCGACGACCGAGAACCAAGTCTCCGAGAACCACGGAGGCTTTGTCATTGACTCCACCATGGTTGTTCAGGCACCGTTTGATGCGCTTTCTCGACGTGGGAGTGCCGAGAATATCTCGGTCAAGTACTCAGAAGCGTACCCCGGCACGGGGCAGTTTCCCACCATCCCATCATCAATGTTCAAGGACGGTGGCGTGAATGTGACGTACTACAAGACGACCGACTTTTCCGGCCCCGTCAATGCGACCGAGATCATCCCGAATATCACTATTGCGAGCTATCCCTCGCAGTTGTGGCAGGCATACCCAGACTTCTTCTCCGCCGTATACGAGGGAATCTTCCTGCCCAACACGACCGGCACCTACCACTTTTCCATGTATGGACAAGGAACTGCCCTTCTTTACTTGGATGAAGTCCTCATCGCGAACATGTCGTATGCCAATTTCGGCAACTTCGTTCAAGGCACGGCAGATCTCAGGGCCGGAGCCGAAGTCAAGCTCACGTTGAAATACGACATGGGCTACTCGCTCTCGACCGGGGGATACGGAATCACTCTTGGCGTGGACGTTGGCAACCAGACAAGAGACTCAGATGCCGACGAACTTGCTCAATGGGCTGATATCAGCATCGTCTTTGCCTCCGATCGGTTGTCCGAGGGTGCCGACAGTGGGCTTGGTCTGTCGCTTCCAGGCGACCAAGACGCGCTCATCAGCAGGCTTGCTGGAAAGTCGAAAAAGACGGTTGTCGTTCTGAATTCCAACTCTGCTGTTCTCATGCCCTGGCTTGAGGATGTGGACGCGGTGATGGACATCTGGTACCCCGGTCAGCAAGTC